TATACAACCAACGGTATTATCTCGAGCAAGGACCGGTGGATCCAACCGACTTGTACGACCAAACCAACCATCGGTCAAGGGATGTTTGGAACGATCACCCGGTACATACAATTCTTCACCATTTGTCCTTCTTTTATTTTGTTAATGTGCCTAGTGTAATATAAAATTAATTTATGTTTATTTTGTAATCGTGTTGGTTGTTTTCAATAATTTAATCGAATACATAGCGCCACTTACTTCGACTCTTTATAAAGAGATGCACGTCTAAGGAAATGGGGTTTTAAGCGATTATCATATCCTCCCATTACCTGGAAAAATCGGGTATTAAGAGATCCTCGGATCCCCCCTTTTTCTGTCAAAAAGACTGCGTTTCTAAGAAGATGTATACCTCTTCTAAGAGTCTAACGAGTGTTGCTTTGTATTCGATTAAATTATTTAAAACAACTAATACGATTAAATTATTTACCAAACATTTGAATATGTATGTTTCTACTTAAATTATTATTCAGTAACAATGTTATTTATGTTAATTAATTTAGTATGTTTGTTTTACGATAATATGTATGTACCTCTTTAAATTATTATTCATTGACAATGTTATTATGTTAATTAATTTAGGACGTTTGTTTTATGATAATATGAAATGTCTTTTTATGATAATAAAATTATGTTTTATGTCGCATAATTTAATTTAATTAATTTAGTTATACGAAAAAAACCCCTTACTAATAATAATAAACGTGTACATTTTTTGCTAGGAATCACAAACAATAATCCGCTATAGGGGTACCACCAATGTGCTCCCATTCCACCCAGCTATCTTGCCATTTCTCAAAAGGGCACGGTTAGACTCGATTAGGCATTTTAACGGCATCCAAATCGATCGCCAACTCATCACCGCATTAGCCGAGAGATTATGACTTTCACCTTCAGATCCGGTTCAGCCTCAATCAGATGCTTGATAGCCGCAGCAACCACCCTGGATTTCAACTGTCGATGGCCTTGGGAAGTTATGGATGACACACATGTGTGTGTGTTGACCGCACGGGATATGACCCAGTGGCCGTGTCTCTTGCTGTTGATGGCACGAATCCTAACATTGCACCCCTCGTGATGATTACGGCATCTGACTATGAGCCTTTTGGTGTTGGAATGAGTTGTGTCCCATTCAAAATGCCGAGTCATTGCTTCAGTCTCAAGGGCGTGCCGCACATCCTTCTTCGAGCCAAATTGTTGGCCCTTCGTAAACCCAGTGAGTGGGCCCCATATTGGGACCTCTGGCGGCTCCATGTCGCTGTCGACCATCCAATTGTCGTCTGGAATGTGATTGTAGTAGGGGACTGGTACACGGTCAGGAGCCACATCATGATCATTATCTGAATCTGAATCTGGTGCTGAATCATCAGCACCTTCAAGAGGGTCTGAGCTGTCTGCACTGACGTTGTTCTCTCCTTCTTCATCAGAGGGGTCGCTGACTGGTCCTGGTGTGGCAGCCTCCGTCTGATCCTGCTCATGAAAGGCACCTTCATCAGCTCCATAATGGTAGTTGTGAAAACTACCGCTGCCTGTCAGGAAGTTGTACTGGGCTTGGTTGGGGATGTCCGGTTGAACTTCTTCTTCATATGACGAGAAAGATTGATGATGGCCTGCACCTTGCCCTCCATCTTGGTACTGAAAATAGGAATGAGGATCATGGTAACTTTGGTAGGGATGATCGTCATATAATTCACCACCACCATGGATACCAGATGTTTGACCGTGTCCAGAATGACCTCCAACACTAACGGCTGGCTCGGTGTAAACGAACATCTCGGCTTTGGCCAACTTGTTGGACCTCAAGAATTCGAGCATGGAATCTACGTCATCTTGAGTGGTTATGGTATATTCCTCATGCCACAATGACCCAGTTGCTCTGTTTGGGTATCGGTACACCATACGATCTACCCTCCTCGTGCCATCCATGCAAGTAACGTCAGTGCATATTCGATGGAGGTCTTCAAGTTTCGGTCTGGTACCGACCGTTATTTTCTGAAAATTGCCACCGACGTAGGTGGCCCCCTTTCCGGTGTCTTCCGTGTAACCATTCCACCGTAAGCCAAGCAACAACTGACGGAATGCCATCTGCACACAAACAAACCATAGTTTTAGTTAATATCATAAAAATCACAGATCACAAATAACAATATAAAGTAACACAAAATAAACTTACGAGTTAATGTTAATGCAATAAAAAGTAACACAAATTAAAGTTACGAGTTAATGTTAATGGCATAAAAAGTAACACAAAATAAAGTTACGAGTTAATGTTAATGGCATAAAAAGTAACACAAAATAAAGTTACGAGTTAATGTTAATGGCATAAAAAGTAACACAAAATAAACTTACGAGTTAATCTTAATGGCAAACACACTAAATAAATATAGATATACAACAGAAAAATGAAAGAGAGAATGAGAGGTGTGAAGAGTTGAGGTTTTCCGGCAAGTCTTATATAGGGAAAAAATTGTGAAAACCGCACCTCTAGGGTGCGGTTTTAGTCTGCATGCAGCCCTACGTCCATAATCCTCTGCATGGTGTGTCGGGTGTCGGAAAATTATTGACATGTAAACCGCACTTGGGGGGTGCGGTCTACATGTCAAAACCGCACCTTAGAGATGCGGTTTGTTCTTGGACGCAGAAACCGCATCTCTAAGGTGCGGTTTAGGTAGGTCAGGCCTAAACCGCACCTCGGCCATGCGTTTCATGTAGGCCAGACATGAAACCGCATGGCCCAGATGCGGTTTAGGCCCACCATTATTGACCGCACCCTCCAGATGCGGTTTACATTTAAAACGCACCTGGGGGATGCGTTTTATATGTAAACCGCACCTGGAGGGTGCGGTCAATAAAAAAAGGTGCTAGTTTTGTAAATATTTTTGGGCGGGTGCTAGTTTTGTAATTTTTTTTTTTAAAGGTGCTATTTCTGGAAAAAAAACTCTCAATAAGGACACAGCTTCCATCAACGTCCCAGTCCGGAACTCAACAAAACCCCATCACCATCAACAATTATACAATTAACCATACGACTAAAATAATACTTTGCCACTCCTCTAAGCAAAACAGGCATTTCCATGCCTGCAGGAAACGTACAAAAAAATAAGCATCCCCACATTTTTAGATTACTTGGGAAATGTCAGCGTCGTTTTTCTAATCACTTTTCACAATTACTCAATCGCTCAAGCTGCACGATTTAGATCCTAAGAAATTTATCACCTGCGTGACAACTCCATGTGACTTCCTGTAAAGAGACCGACCAACACATGTAACCACCGATTCTACTGCTACGTCACAGACTTGGATTTCAAAAGGCAGTAGGAAAATTTCCTTTCGGCTAAATTGCAAATTTGTTCACTTGAATTACTATTAAAGTTCACGTTAGCCAATGAAATTACTTTATTCTATCCGTAGTCATTTAAATTAGGTTAATAGTCCAAGTTTGGTCACTGACAGTTAGTCTCCGTTTACTTTGTTGATGTGACGGTCAACTCTCATAGTTGGCCGTTAAATGAGTGACGTGGCAGTTAAAAATTTAAAACAAAATAAAATTTAATTATTTTTATTTTCCACCTCATCATCAAAATTATTAAAAAATAAAAAATAAAAGCCAGACGTAATCAGCCACCAAAGATAAAAAATAAAATTGAAATCTCTCTCTCTATCTAGATCGTTAGCTTTCTGTTAAGCGATTTCGTCTCCGTCATGCGTTGCTAATCGGCGGGGGTTTCTTCTCCGGTAGGCGCTCATCGCCAAGGGACATTCCCCGTCTTTCCCCTTCCTCTCCTTCTCTTTTTCTTTCTTCTTGGAAATGAGTGTTGTGCAATCGCCGACGAAGACCTCGGAGTCTTGGGCGGCTCTTTTTCGCTGTACATGAGGATAATCGTTTGGAATTTGTAGAGCCAGAGTTGGTCAATGGAGCCTTGAGGATTCCACGAGCAGTAGTGGAGGAGGGAGCCAGGTGGTGGGAGCACGCACTGGTTGGGCAATTCCTGGGTGAAGCGCCGTCGATTGCTGCTATTCGCTCATGGGCGAATTGGATTTGGGGGCGCGAGGGGGAGATTAGGGTTGCGCAATGAATTCCTTATTCGTCTTTCAGTTCCCATCGGCTGAGGTCTACAGTTGGGCTTTCGAGGACCGACTCCCAATCCCGACTCCGTCCATCGTCACCGTCACGTACACTGACGACGTGGGCCCCGCCGTTCCGCATTCCCCAGAACAAGGAGAAGACCTAGTGCTCGGAAAATAGACCAGACCGTTAGAAAAATCGTGGTCCGGACCGTAGACCGTTTAGTATGGTCTGGTCTGGTCCATGGTTTGTATTATTTATGTTTTGATTTTTTGGTTTGGTCGGGTCTAGACCGCGGTTTACCGGACCAAACTGTGGACCCAACTGACTTGTCAATACGTGTTAATAGCTCATTCGACCACTCTCCCAACTCCCACAACGACCCCCAAGTCTCAACCTTAGTTTTGTGAATCTCGTCCCTCCTTCATTCACAACCACATTTAACCAGAGAGTAGAGATAATTGTGTATTCATATGACATTATGTTAATGTTTATGACGTTATGTTGCAAGTTGGAATGCTTTTACTTTGTATATTTGTTATGTACTAAGAATTAGGGTATCAAAATGATTCATGCATGTTAGGATTAATGTGTTAAGGCAAATAACAATTATTTTTCTTGGTTATTGGTTCAATTTTTTGTGTGGGGACAAGGTGGATGCAACAGTAGTTAGAGATGAAGATAATTAGGTTTTATTTTTTACTTTTTAATAATTTTGATAATGAGGTGAAAAATAAAAAATATTTATTTTTTATTTTTTTAAATTGTCACGTCACTCATTTAATGGTCAACTATTGGAGTTGACCGCCACATCAACAAAAATTAACGGAGACTAACAACCAGTGACCAAATTTGATTTGAATTGTTAACCTAATTTAAGTAACTACTAATGGAATACATAATTTCAATAGCTAAGGTAAACTTTACTGGTCCATCCAAATAATTTTCCAATTTAGCGGTTAGCCATTTCCTTTCCAACCATACCAATGTGCTGCTGCCTGCCTTTATGGACAGTTGGACACTCATCCCAATCAGGATTTCCAAATTCTACCGGTGCAAAATGGTGAGACGTGTCGGGTTACTATGGGGAGCACTCACCAGCTTCTAGATGAAATGATTATATGATAACTGATAAACGCACTGTAGACAGCATTTGTTCCCAGTGTAGTTGCAGATTATACAAGGAATAGATCTTGATTTTCTCCTAGAGTACATTATGTGAGAGAAAATGCATGAAAAAAGAGAAAGAGGGAGGACATCATTTGAGAGAGGATGGCATGACTCTGCAAATCCCCTAGACGATCAGCTCGTCTTCGAGGTAATTGTACTCGAACGTGAACTCCGTCTTGATTCTCTGACACCTGAACAACGGGGCACATAGATCACGAAGCCGACCATCAAGATTCCTTCATTAAAAAAGCCAATATGCGGTCTCGGGAATAAAAGCAAATTTCAAGAATCAACATACCATCCGTGTTGGTGATCATCATTGGCGATGTGGAAATCGAAATAGACATACGTCCCTTGTTCAAACTCGTCGGTGGCAACCTTGGGCTCTTCATGTCGCTGGAACCAGGTGTTGTATTTTCTGTGATATCTCCATGATCCCTTCTTCAGCTCCCTTGCTGCCAAATATTGTTGATACGTGTTCTGCAAACAGAATACATAACTCAGTAACCCAATCGGCAGGGCTCAAATCAATTGAGACCGGAAACACATCGTAATCCTGTATCACCTGTTGGTAGTAAAATGCAAAGAACAAGGTGTCGGTGCCGTAACTGTCAAGGGTCAGCCTTTCCCAGAAGGCAGGGTTATTTACAATGGGAGCCTGAACTTGAGGGAAGCTGGACGGTGTTACAGCAGGATGCCTCTGTAAAAGCATTAAATAGATACCATTAATAGAATCAGACTTTCCTGCACTTTCCTCCTTTTTAGAGACTTATAATAAGAAATAGAGTTTGGGACGAAAAAGTACTGGGATATAGCTCCTTGCACGCTCCGAGTCTTTGGGTTGAGGAAGTTTGTGATAAGCAGCCTCTAGCATCTGCAAATTGTAACTGTTGTCATGCAGTGGAACGGGACTCGCAGCAGGCGAGGCGAGACTATCGCCAATGGCACCAAGGTCAGCAATGCTTCTGCGACCGATGACACCTAAACCGCTTGTTGTTTGTGTAGAAGACTGTAAGGGTTGCCCGGGAGAGAGATCGGTGTCTCTCGGCACTTGAACAGACAGCTCTGCCAAAGAGCTCGATACCTACAGAACATAGTTAAGAGCAACTTAATGACCAACCATGATTAACATTTCGGTAATATTATCCACTTCGACTTTGCAATGAAAATGCGTTCATGTTGACTTGAAGTTCGACTTTGAGATCATGGTTTTATACATACATTGTCCATTGGGTGAGGAGCTTTAAGCTCATCCTCACTGATGAGACTTTTACCCAGTCCAGTTGTGGCAGCAGATTCAGAGGCCAAGTCATCGGTTAAATTCAGTGATTGCTGTTGCTCCTCGAGTTTCATATGACCAGCATCTACATATTTATGGGCAGAATTTTAATTGTAGGTCATTATAGAAATGAACAGATAAGAATAAGAAGTGGTGCTTAGAGGGTACCACTATCTCTTATAGCATTCGGTGCCACAACTGGTTGACTAGACTGTTGATGAATTGAGTTTGACTGCTGCAAAGTAGTGGGTGTAGCATTGCTTAGCCCTGGTGCTTGAACGCTAAGCCCTAGAGTCGCTTGCGAGGAGAGGGATGAGCTTTGAGAGTTATACTGAAAAATCCACGTGGCAATACCAACTTTTAATTATACAAGAAAACTGTAACCTCATTGAAGGATAAAGAAAAAACAAGTTCCACTCATATGAAATCATAATGGACTAGGATCCAAGCAAGGAAGTGTTAGACCAAGTAGGAACTATGCTCAATGGCCGAGGATCAGCGACATCTGATCCTGGAACGACTTTGTGGTCCAACACAAGAAAGTGGAGCACCCAAAAGGGCTAATTGTCTCAAATGGTGGCCATAAATGTCAATTGGCCCAAGTAAACACAGAGAAGATAACCGATAAAGAAACAGACCTGTTGCAAAAGTGGGTTTTGTTGTGTTGGGAATTGCTTATGACTGCCACCAGGAAGAGGTGGCATGCCGAGAAGGTTGCTATGGCCTTGTTGGACTTGCTGAAAACGCTGCAAGAATTTCTCTCTCTGATCAGGGGCTATCTCAGTTCGAGCTCGAAATTGACCCTGAAACAAAGTCTTCAAGTTATTTCACATGATGTCTGAGATAAGTCTGTATGCCAAAGAGGGATCCAAAACCCATAATCAATAGATAATGATGATACTTTTCAAGGCTGGAATCTGGCACTGATGCTTATCAATTATATCCTCAAAATAAGCACACATCAGTCTATTTTAGAGATCATATGCATTAGTTTGGAAGAAACGATTTACCGGTTCATTCTGAGTCTGAAATGAACTTCCAGGTCTCCATTGCATGCCAGGAACCACAGGAGGAGAGAAGACTCTGCCACCTAACCCAGCACCTTCATTGCCAGAATCTAGTACACCAGTTCCATCACTGGACATGCCAACTTGAGGCAAAATCATCCGATTACTTAATGGGGAATTCAAAGACTGAACCATTCCAGTGTTCACAATCCTATCATCAGTACCCAAAATATTTCGCTTTGTCACATCAGAGACTGATGGTACTGCACCAAGGGCTCCATTGCTAGGAATTGTACTAGAAGTAAGAGGAATACTAGTTGGTGGCTGGCTTGTGAGGCCACCTCGGCCAATGCCCCTTGTTAGTCCAGGATCACCAAGAGTAGGTGATGGTCTACGTCCAGGGAAGCCGGCAGTTTCTTCATCTTTTGCAGGAGTTGCAAGAGGAACAGGAGATGAAGGAACAGAAGCAGCAACATTTTCTACAGCCCCTCGAACAGGAGATGGACTTGGAATAACTGCAGGAGCAGCTGTCATGGCAGGTAATGGATTAGCAGGAACACTCACAGGAGTTACATGACTAACAGGCGGGGTTGACGGAACAGAAGAACCCAAGATGCTGCTCTTTGCAGGTGGGGTTCGAGCAACAACTTCAGAATTACTGTCTTGCGAAGCTGTATCATCAGCAGGCTCCTGGACAGGGGTGGTACTAACAACAGTCTGGAAAGAAAGCACAACAAGATTATTCATGGAGACAATGCAAGCAAGACTACTGATAAGACACATATACACACATACAGGCATTTGGGGTGGCGCAGGTGCTGTCAGGGAGGCAGACTTCAGGCTATGTACTGGTGCACCCTAAAAGAATTCAAAAGGTTTTACTACTTCAATGGAACATGAAACTATACTTGCATAACAGTTCACCTCTAAATTGTTGTTCCTCATATATAAACAGAGAGGAGTGCTAATTTACCTTCACAAGACCAGGAGGAACAATTGTGACAAGATCTTCAAGGGATTCCACTTTGTCTAATGGCAACGAGCTATAAAGCTCATCTACATCACTGAATTCATCAAAATCCTCCTACAACAGATGATAGAACAGCAGCAAAAATAACCTTCAGAAACTGGACTGCATCACTATATATGGTTGTCCAAACAACAGTGAAGGACTAAAAACAACCATAGCACTATTATACACAGTTGGAGAAACACCTGGTTCCGCTCCACATAGTCATCAATAAAGTCTTTAACATCGTTGACCTGCTCAGCACTCAACTCGTCATTATCAAGTAGCCTCAATATCAACTCTAGCTTCATTATATGAGCCTTGTGCCGTTGAATAGATGCCTCTAAATGTGTCTGAGAACAAACCCAAGAAAGTCATCAATTTCCATACACTAACAGCAAATTTCAAAAAAAAAAAGCTGTTCCTTTATTGCTCACCAGTCTGGGTGGCCTTGTCTTTCCTTTCTTCACGGTGAGACCTTCTATTTCAGCTTCAAAGCTATCAATCTGGGATTCTAACTCGCTCACCTACTCAAGTGCAAAACAAGTCACAACAATCAGTTAACCATTAGTTCGAAAAGTTCACATGCAATTCTTCTATGCAATGAATTTAAAGGTATCACATAAACTATTTACAGCTAACAACAGCGACAAATGCTCCCTTGGAAGGCATTGACGGGACAGAAAGGACCAATATCTCTAAAAACTCTTATGACTCGGGTTGACATCCTTGTATTGAATCATTTGACAACTTGTCAAACATGCGGAGTCCTCAAGGTTCAAAAGCAACCAAATGCAAGTTTTATGGATGGCAGATCTTGCAGATACGCAGAATGCAGATTCAATTGTTTTTGCAGCATTATTAAGCCAATGACCAAATCGCTCCTCTTTTCACATGAAACTATAGCACCAGCAGTTAGGGAAAAAAACATGAATCGATAATTTGCTATTTTCACGTACCGAATTGTTCAGCCAATCCCTTGTCTCTGATTTAGCCTTCTCCCTTGGATCCTATAAGAAAACACAGAAAAGAATAATGCAAACAAAACAATTTCCAAGCACGATAAGCGATCTTTTATTTATTTATTTATGAACCATATAATGAGTAATGTTATCCATTTAAAGATGGAAGAATATCAAAAATCCCTAGTTTCACAAACAAATAAATAGGGGGCAAACAGAGTACACGATAAAATTGATTATAATGAGGCGACAAAACTATATAGTTGCCAGATCAATCCAATGGGAAGGAAACTTATTACTAAACCATTGATAATTTGATACCATATCAAACACAATACTTTTATAGGCATCGCCTCTGATGTTAGACAAACCAGTACATTAAACACAAAGAAGGTCAAGATAAGCTCGGGCATCAAACATGAAAACAAGATGATATAAGCTTAGAGACTTACAGTTTTAGGTTGTTGACCAAGCCCTTCTTTTGAGAATGCTTTTGTCTTAGTTTCCTTTTCGCAGATCTTAAATCTTTCCATTTCACGTTCAATCAGCTTACGAGCATCCACCAGTGCCTGTTCATAAGAGGCGCTAACCTATTGCACAAGAATCCAAAAATGAAAAAGAAAACACTCAGCTGCTATATCACAGGACATTATACAGTAAAACAAAGCACCAGAGTAACGCAAGCAAGTGCAGCAAAGCAGGTTTCAACCATGTGATGCCTGCTCTCAAAACTATGTCAGACCTAAACCCTTAGAATGGATTAGCTATGTGTACTAAACTGAGAACAAACCAAAGCTTTTAAGTAACACAACCTTAGACGTTCCATCTCATCCTCCTGTCAGCTATATTTCATCCTATTCCAATTGAAGATGTACGAGCTAGCATGGTCCATTTGCTCCAAATCTCAAGACAATTAAACAGCTACCATATCCGAAAGACCATGAATTCAACAAGATGAAAGACAACTGACCTTTTTATCCTTAATCTCGCTAGACTGGATCCATGTCTTGATCTGGTCTCTGTATCTCTGCAGTTTCTTGATCTCCTTTTTCAAGTCTGCCTCAAACTTCTCTTTCTGATTTGCATTGTCGGTATCATAAACCTAGAATAACAATGGATCATATAAGGAACGAAAATGCGGCCCGGGAGACTATTAAGAGATATAATAACACAGATAATGAAGCCGATCAACGAGGTTTCCTTGTTCATTCATCATATCTAATACGGAAATTGGATCCTGTGCTTTCACACCATGGATATAGCTGCTCGTTCGAATTCTTCATTTCAACAATACGACCAAAAGAGAACTAACGCTTGATTGCGGCAAAACCAGTACGAACTCCTAGACAGTCAGGAATTCAAAATGAAACGCTTCAATAGTCTGCATTGTGTCTCAATTCCAACTCTATTCCGGCATTCCAAGCCAAAGTTCATAAAACAGATGGAAATCCTCGAGTTCGCACGGTTCAAATTTCTTCCGCAGGCAAACGGAAGGAAACAACGTCGAAACAAAAAGACAACTAGAAGGAGAGAGAAGATGGCGAGAGACCTTGTTCCAGATGCTGTCGAAGACATCTACACCTTCTTGAACCTTCTTCAGTACCCGATCGATCTCTCCCTGTAGCTTCCGACTAGCTCCCATTGCCTAAGGATCTTCAGAATTCCACTCTTCGTCTGGTTATCATTCAAGGAAATAAAATGCGATGGCTGAATCGGAACTGCAGTGCAATGAAGTTGAGAGTCTGTGGTGTTCTAAGGATTTAGGGTTTCAGTGTTTCCTGTTCTCGGTTGTGGAGTTGGGGCAGATTAGCGACGATAACTGGACGCCGATAGACGGAATGAAGCACACCAGAAACGAAGAATGGTGGGCGGAAAGAGGAAACGAGTTGCTTTGAGTTGGGCCTGGGCGTTTGGTCCTATGCATATTGTACACTGGGCTTGTAGTGGGCCGTTTTGCTCTTCAATTAACTCCAGCCAGCCTGTTGGAAAATGGACTTTTCTTATGCTTTTGGGCTATTTGCAAAATGCACCTACAGGGCCCATCAATGACAAACGATACTTTTCATGAGGGTCCATTAGGGCGGGTGGGCAATGACCACACCACACCATATTGATATGCACCGCACCGCACCGTATATTAGACGCAATTTAATTGGTGTGGTCAAACTAAACTGTAAAACTAGGCGGTTTGGACCGTACTGCATAATTGATCGCAATGTATTGAATGTAATATGAACTATGCATAATTGAATTGACAAATATGAATTCACTTTCTATACTCATAATCCGTAATTATAAGAAAAATGAATATTTAAGATCTTACCTAGTAATGACTAATCTTATATGAATCCGTTAATTATTTTTCTAATGACATTAACCACTCAAAATTATTAAAACAGACAAATTTTATACGAAGTACGTATTTCATTTTAATTTTTCTTTATTCTTTCCAAAAAATTGTCCTTAATCATAAAAATTCGAACATACAATATATAAACCATAAAATCGCTAATAAATGACAAAAATCAATATATCATTTATAATAAAAAGTTGGAACAACTAATCAAGTAAAATTCAATTATATCTCCTCTCTTCTTTTCCGAAGTAGAATAAAGAACTACAACTCTACAAGCCAGTCCCCGTAGCCACCAAACAGTCGGCCGCCACCAGACCCACTCAGCGTCGTCGCCATCGTGAATCTGAATCGACATTGTTAGTGCTCCAAAGCTGCAAATGAAGCTGTTTGAGTCCAACTGAGAGTAGGAGTGAGACTCCGAGGAAGAGGGGAGAGAAATACGAGTGAAGTGAGTTTATGATCAGTTGATGGCAAAGACGTAGGGAAGAAGGTTGAGAGAACGAGATTCTTAGAGAGATAAGTTGTTGTGTATGTGAGAGAGTCGAAAGATCGATCCCTTTACCTACCGTAGTAAATGCTCTATTTATAGTACATTGTGGTAAGTGGATATTTAATGCGACAAGACCCCTACGTGTGTCAGAAAACTAGGCCATGCTTTAGGCCATAATTCTACCTAGGACTAGGACTAGGACATGACTCCTCCTCCTTCAGAGGGTACGACGCCGTTCCACACGGCTCCCTTTCTCAGTGCAAACTGGGCGAAACGACGACGGTTCGGAGCAGGGTAAAACGGTGCCGATTTATGCTTCGCTTGTTCGCGGACGTGCCTGTGCTCGCGGAAGTCTCTCGGTCATTCCACTCGCGCGGCGGGATCTGGGCCACATCCCCAACAATTGCCCCCCATCAGGGGGTATTCTGTGAATGCCGCCTGGTCTTGTCTTGTGCGTCTGACCTGATCACGCGTGCTCCTCGCTCGCTCTTCCGTGCCTTCGCAAGTTCCGCGCCCGGTTGTGCACGCTTCTTACTCACTCCTCCGCGCCTTCGACAGTTTTGCGCGTCATAGCTTAGATTTCTGGGTTTACTTTTGTTCCGCGGGTACGTCACGATTGTGGCTCGTATTGGCGGACGTGCGTCTTTGCGCACTCCTTGGTCATTCCACTGCGCAGTTTTGTGTCCTATGTGCGCGCTCCTTACCCATTCTTCTATTCTTCCGCGCCTTCGACAGTTTTGTGCGTCAGAGTTTTGATTTTTGGGCTTATCCTTGTTCCGCGCGTCATAGCTTTGCTCGTTTCATTGCGCCTCCATTTATCTCTGCGTGGGGTATTTTTGATTTCTTTTGTTTTTTGGTTCCGCGGGTACCCCATGCCCCCCAGGCGGTGTGCGTACCTACGATTCATAGGTGTGCGTCACCGGCTAGTCCTACGATTCATAGGTGATGACGTGGCACTCTGACGTCCACTCGTTTGGGCGGTGGCTTTTGAAATTCAAACGTTACTGACGTTTCCGGTTCCCGAGGTGCTTTGGACTCTTCGGTTGCCTCTGTGTGGGTTATAAGTACTCCTCTTTTTACTGAGAGGATTTACTTTCTCCCTCATTTGTGATCTTTTCCTCATTTGTGTTTTCTCCTGCATCGTTTTTCCTCTGCCGAAGAGATTATTCTCCTACTCCGACGACCCCAATCTTTGGTATTGTTCGTAGCATTTTTTCAGAAGTACAATGGCCAGCGGTGATGCGAATCGTGAGATCGAGGTCGTAGCAGTCGAAGAAGGTAATCTTTCTCCTTTATCTCGTGTGTCTGCTGATCCGTCGTTGGCTCTGGACGAGCCCGATTACAATCGTGACGGCGGGGCAGACGGCGGCGGTGTTCCGGCGACGCCATCGTTCGACGGCGACTCTGGGAAGGATGCGATGTATGATTTCTCCGACGCCGGTGAGATGAGCCGGGGTGAGGCAAATTCGCGTGCGCGGGGGGTGCTAATAATCAGGCGAGATCGCAATCATGCGAGCGGATCGGGCGCTGCTCCTGTTGACGCGCCGGAGGCGTCAGAGACTTCATCCGAGCCGGTTTGCTTGTCTCGCGTCACGGAGGCAATGAGTCGGCTCGGGATGCGCGGAGTGGGGGTCGAGTATACGATCCTAGATTGGGAGGATATGTTTGAGGCGGGGTAGGTCCCGTGCGACAGCCTGGTGCGCGGGCCGGACCACGTGTCTCTGTACGGGCGGAGAGAGGTAACTGACCTGGTGCGCGGGTTGGGGTTGCCCCCCAACTGGCAGTACGCAGTTCCTTCCGAGCGGAGCAGAATTGGTAATTGCCCCCCAGGTTGGTTCGGCGTTTACTCAGAGTATTGGCGGATGGGTTTCAAATTCCCCATCGACCCCTTGATGTGCTCTCTCTACCGGCGCGTGGGTTGTTCTGTCGCGCGGTTCTCCCCATCCGTCATAATGCACGCCTCTTGCCTCCGCCTCATTTGCAAGAGGTTGAAGATTGAGCCCACTTATGGGATTTTTCGAAAAATTTACAAGTTGAGGGGGCCCACGGAGACAAGCGACTATCTCTCGATTAGGCGGCGAGACAAGCGGCCCGAGGGGTATGTGTATGGATCCCCGAAGTTGGAGAAGGACTAGTTCGAGCGGTTCTTCTTCGTGAAGCCTACCCCGGGCGAATGGTCCGCTGAGTACGTCGAGGAGCCCACATCCTGGAAGAAGGAGAATGTGCGCAACTTTGAATCCGAGTTGGGAAAATACGATGGGCTCGACGCCGAGTATGAGGCTTGCATGCCTCATAGGATAAATTTATACTCTAGCGGCGTCCGCGCGGCTTGCTTGGAAGAGCTTTTTGCTGACGGTTAGTTATTTTTCTTTTGTTCTTGCATTCTGTCATATTAACGGCCGTCTTACGACTTATTGGCGCAGGTGTTGATTTCTCGTCACTGGCAAGCATGATGTCGGTGGACGATGTGGTGAAGCCTTCGCGTGCCGCGCGTGGCGAGAAGAAGAGGCGGAAAGAGGCCGCTCGTTCTGGTGGCACGAAGAGGAAGGAAGCTGAGGAGGTTGTTGCTGCGGACAGACCTCAGAAGGCCGCGCGGGTGAATGAGCAGCCTTCGCCGTCGGTGCAAGCGTCGCCGATAACAATTGTTTAGCCCGCGGGCCCGACGGGTGAGGCTGTGAGTCAGGGGGTGCAAGTAAGTAGGCCTCCACGCGCTGATAAAGGAACGGCCGCCGGAGGGTCCGGGGCGACCGTTCAGCAAACGTTGCCGGGGATGACCACCATCAATTATTATCGGGACGTGCGGTTTCATACGGGCGCGACATGCAATTCTACCGCCGCCCAGGACTCTCTCCGGGCGCTCGGGCCGGTTCTCAGTGTTCCTCCGCGACTGGAGAAGTCTGACCCGTTGTGAGACCTGGCTCAGGTCCACTTTGCGGTGAGTTAGGGTCGGGTTGCTTGTACTTTGTTTTGTCTGTACTTTGTTTTGTCTGTGTTGTTGAATTTGGCTAAGTCTTCTTCCGCTGTTGGTGCAGGGTTTGATGTCAACCTTCCACGCTCAGTAGGAGCGCGCTCGAGATCGCGCAAAGCTGAAAGCCGATGAGTCCCGAATCGTGCAGCTGGAAGGCAAGCTGGCGGGCGCTGAGGGCCGCGCGACGTTGGCCACAAACAAGGCTAACGAGGCGCTCGAGCAACTCGCCGTATTGCAAAGTAAGTTGGAGGAGGATGTGAATGCTGTGAAGGCTCGTGTGCGGGAGGAGCTGCGGAGCGAGTTTGAAGAAGAAAGGAAGCGGTTGGCGGATGAGAGGGAGCAGGAGAGGAAGGAGTTGGAGTCCGCTCACGCGGACAAGTTGAAGCAGGTTCGCGACGAGCTTCAGAGCGAGAAGGAGGATCTGGTCCGCATTCACAATGTCGCTAAGGCGGAGGCTGTGCGGGAAGCGCAAGCGGTGGCTGTCCGCCAGTACAAATATTCCCTTGCATTTGGGAAGATTATGGCGGATGCTATGACCAAAGCGGTGATCGCAGTGGGTAAGAAGGTGAGGTCGGAGAATCCCAGCTATCAGTGGGACACGCGCGCGATGGTTCAGCACGTGCAAACGTGGCTGCGCGAGAAGAAACTGTTGGAGTCGAACTCGGAGTCAAAGGAGGAATCGGAGTCTGAGGGGGAGGAAGCCGAAGTACGCGCGAAGATAGTGGACGAAGGCGGTGCGTCCAGCGCGGGTAAGGAAGGGGAAGCAGATGCAGCGGCGACTGATGCAGCAGCGACTGAGGATGTGGAGGCTGAAGAGCAGGCCATTTGATGTCTAGCTACTTTATGTGAATTTCTCTTTTGTTGAACAACTTGTTGCGCGGGATACGCGCTTTTGATGTACTTTTTTATGTTCCCGTTTGTTAAATCCAAAAGTACTTTCACTCCTTCTTTCTTGAGTGTTGTGTGGGTTCCTCTTTTATCTGAACAATTGGTTGTGCGGTCAGTGCTATTAGCTGGATTCTTTACGTGGTTTATTACCAGCGTTTACGTTCTTTTGCGCGGGGCGTGGACGCGAATAATTTATTATTATCGCTATATTCGAACCATGTGCACGATTCATGATCAGCGACACGTTCTTTTGCGCAGAGCGCGGGCGCAAATAATTCGTGATTATTGCTATGTTATG